TGACAAAGTGGCAAAAACAGGAAGAGCAGAGCGGAGAGTTAACAAACCTAAACTGGGAAAACTAAAAAACTAACCTGAAACCAAACACTTACGGGAGGAGGAGCAAAATGCACAGAGAAAGATGGCAGAGAGAATGAACACCGGGTTACACAGAGTAATGCAGACTGACACGGAGTAACACAGACAATGCGACAGAGAGCACAGGAAAACACAGGGCTTCTATACACAGGGCGGCAATCAGGGAATGGAAGAGTGAGACAGACTTGACACGGAACTAAACCTGCAATAATAATAATAACCATAATCAAAACAGTATCACTAAATAATCAGAACATAAATCATAATCAGAAAAACACCAAAACATAAGAAACAGAAAAAGCTGGGTCAGAATGACCCAGAACCATGACAACACTTCCCTCAAATGAAAGTTGAGACACATTATGTCCATATATAACTATAACTATACAACTATAATTGGATTATGTTTCAGTAAACAGGTAAAAAAGCAAAAACAAAGCTTGTGTCAGTGACCAAATATATATGTGGCTAACTGTATGTAAACCATTTACAACAACAGCACTCTGAACGCTCGACAGCCCCCCCCCACCACCACAATGTTTTTATTACCGTTTGCAGACGTCAGCCTGCTTTTATAACAACGTGCTGATGTCTGACTTTTGACCAATGACCGTGAAGCATTACATACTAAAATGGTATTTTGTTATCTTTACCCACATGATTAAAGCAGAACTGGCTAAAATAACTGGCCAAAATCATTACATGAGAATTTTGAGCTTTTAAGCATTCATGCGGTGTGTATTTTTGTGATCACTCTAATGTCATAGTTTTGTACTGAAAAAAATAAAAAATGTGTTGTACAGCTCTCTCCATGCCCTTTCATATGATACATTACTAAATATGGGTTCTTGGAGATTTTTTCCAAGGTCAGCTTTGATCTTGGGTACCTACCATGAAGGTCAAGGTCAAATGCTTAGCCAACCTAGGTACTCATGTCCCCCAACACCTAGTATATTGTTGTAAAGTTTAAAGAAGACCCATAAAAAATTGTGGATAAGCTAAGGTTTTTGGTGTGACCTGATTGACCTTGAGCTGTTATTGGTATCTACCATTACACAAAATCTGAGCATGATATCTTAAAAACTGTGGACATTAAACTGCCAGAAAACAGGCAGCCAGACAAACAAACAAACTGAAAGGATTACATAATCTTTCTTTTGGGGGGAGAACAAACGGTCTCACCCCAAAACAAAATAAAAAAAAAGTGATCTTTTGAAAACCGTTGCCGTTTCCACCCCCTAAATAAAACACAGAGACGCATTACACTTGACAGTCCCTTTTCCTTGGTAGCACCTACATTTGGGGCCATCAGAAGCCAAATGGGCTCAAGTCATGTCACATAAAATTATAGCCATCCTGGGAACAATTTGAAATGTTCCATGATGTCACTGTTAAACATCCATACTGATTTTACCGTACAGTAAAAATCCAAAGCTGAAAGAGATGTTGTTGTTTTTTTAATCAAGCAATATTTAAAACAGTGGTTCCTTTTACTGTTTATTTGATATCTAGGCCAAC